ACCATTATAAACAAGGGAACCCACCATTATAAACAAGGGAACCCATCATTATAAACAAGGGAACTCAACATTATTAACAAGGAATCCACCATTATAAACAAGGGAACTCACCATTACCAACAAGGGAACCCACCATTATAAACAAGGGAACCCACCATTATAAACAAGGGGACCCACCATTACCAACAAGGGAACCCACCATTATAAACAAGGGAACCCACCATTACAAACAAGGTGACCCACCATTACCAACAAGGGAACCCACCATTATAAACAAGGGAACCCACCATTACAAACAAGGGGACCCACCATTACCAACAAGGGAACCCACCATTATAAACAAGGGAACCCACCATTATAAACAAGGGGACCCACCATTACCAACAAGGGAACCCACCATTATAAACAAGGGAACCCACCATTATAAACAAGGGAACCCACCATTATAAACAAGGGAACCCAACATTATAAACAAGGGAACCCATCATTATAAACAAGGAAACCCACCATTACCAACAAGGGAACCCACCATTATAAACAAGGGAACTCACTTTTACAAACAAGGGAACTCACTTTTACAAACAAGAAACCTAGCATTTCAAACAAGGAACCCATCATTACAACAAGGGAACCCACCATTATAAACAAGGGAACCCACCATTATAAACAAAGAATCCCACCATTATAAACAAGGGAACCCACCATTATAAACAAGGGAACCCATCATTATAAACAAGGGAACTCAACATTATTAACAAGGAACCCACCATTATAAACAAGGAAACCTACCATTATAAACAAGGGAACCCATCATTATAAACAAGGGAACCCACCATTATAAACAAGGGAGCCCACCATTATAAACAAGGGAATTCAACATTATAAACAAGGGAGCCCACCATTATAAACAAGGGAATTCAACATTATAAACAAGGGAACCCATCATTATAAACAAGGGAACTCAACATTATTAACAAGGAACCCACCATTATAAACAAGGGAACCCATCATTATAAACAAGGGAACCCACCATTATTAACAAGGGACCCACCATTATAAACAAGGGAACCCACCATTATAAACAAGGGAACTCAACATTATTAACAAGGGAACCCACCATTACAAACAAGGGAACCCTGCATTATAAACAAGGGAGCCCACCATTATAAACAATCATGAATTGTGTACTTCTTCTAACTTCCATGTCCTCATTTCCATCTCTTACTACCATTGTTACCATCTATTACCAGGTAATCAGTTATTGATAACTATTATTGGTGTACATGACAACTATGATCAGCCTGACAAATCCTTTATCTTAGTACATAGTCACTATGATCAGCTTGACAAACCCTTTATCTTGGTACATGGTCACTATGATCAGCCTGACAAACCCTTTATCTTGGTACATGGTCACTATGATCAGCCTGACAAACCCTTTATCTTAGTACATGGTCACTATGATCAGCCTGACAAACCCTTTATCTTAGTACATGGTCACTATGATCAGCCTGACAAACCCTTTATCTTGGTACATGGTCACTATGATCAGCCTGACAAACCCTTTATCTTGAGTACATGGTCACTATGATCAGCCTGACAAATCCTTTATCTTAGTACATGGTCACTATGATCAGCCTGACAAATCCTTTATCTTGGTACATGGTCACTATGATCAGCCTGACAAACCCTTTATCTTAGTACATGGTCACTATGATCAGCCTGACAAATCCTTTATCTTGGTACATGGTCACTATGATCAGCCTGACAAATCCTTTATCTTGATACATGGTCACTATGATCAGCCTGACAAACCCTTTATCTTGGTACATGGTCACTATGATCAGCCTGACAAACCCTTTATCTTGGTACATGGTCACTATGATCAGCCTGACAAACCCTTTATCTTGGTACATGGTCACTATGATCAGCCTGACAAATCCTTTATCTTGGTACATGGTCACTATGATCAGCCTGACAAACCCTTTATCTTGGTACATGGTCACTATGATCAGCCTGACAAACCCTTTATCTTGATACATGGTCACTATGATCAGCCTGACAAACCCTTTATCTTGATACATGGTCACTATGATCAGCCTGACAAACCCTTTATCTTGATACATGGTCACTATGATCAGCCTGACAAATCCTTTATCTGTGTACCTATGAGCCCAGCCTGACAAATCCTGATCTGGGTACCTATGAGCCCAATCTGACAAATCCTGATCTGGGTACCTATGAGCCCAGCCTGACAAATCCTGATCTGGGTACCTATGAGCCCAGCCTGACAAATCCTGATCTGGGTCTGTGTACATATGAGCCCAATCTGACAAATCCTGATCTGTGTATGTATGAGCCCAGCCTGACAAATCCTTTATCTGTGTACCTATGAGCCCAGCCTGACAAATCCTGATCTGTGTACATATGAGCCCAGCCTGACAAATCCTGATCTGTGTACCTATGAGCCCAGCCTGACAAATCCTGATCTGGGTACCTATGAGCCCAGCCTGACAAATCCTGATCTGTGTACCTATGAGCCCAGCCTGACAAATCCTGATCTGTGTACATATGAGCCCAAATATGAGCCCAATCTGACAAATCCTGATCTGGGTACCTATGAGCCCAGCCTGACAAATCCTGATCTGGGTACATATGAGCCCAGCCTGACAAATCCTGATCTGTGTATGTATGAGCTAAGTCTTACAAATCCTGATCTGTGTACCTATGAGCCTAGTCTTACAAATCCTGATCCATGTACCTATAAACCCAGTCTGACACACATCACACAATATTAGGTGTAACTATAGAGTAATGGTTAATTTACTCCCGATCAGCTGTAATACTTCAGGTTTTTCCATCTGCTCTTCACAACACAAGCTAACCAAATTAATCATCTTCTAACATACACTACTCCTTCACACACTACACACATCACTATCATCATCAAGTTCTCTATCATAGTTAGTGCTTAGTCCCAACAGGATTTGTTGGTGTTCCTGCTTTACGCTGTCTCATTATATCTGTACTCTCTCTGTTAATGTTAATTTTGAACCCTTTCTGCTTATGTCTGTTTTGCACATCTTGCATATGATTGTATTGAAAACGTTTAAACTATGTTTGTTTATAATTTTTTAAAAAATAATTTGTCCATGAATGTGTAAAACATGTTTATTTGGGTAATGACTTGTTGATGTTTGTTTAAGACATCTTATGGGTTGTATGTTTTTTTTTCACTTTTTAATCTTGGCAACAATTTTGTTCTATTTTGTTTTAAGCATTTTTCCTTCAGGAGTGTGGTACAAAAAAAAAGTTTACTGTTTCAGTGTTTGCGAGCACTTCTTGTTAATCATTGAACACTTTCTGTTTTTAGTGTTTCTGTGCACTCTTTTTCATGGTTAAATATTCTGTTTTTGGAATTTGTAAGCAATCTTTGTTCATGGTAGTAAAACATTTTCTAATCCTAGTCCTTTTGCGCACTCTTTGGTCATGGTTGAACACTTTCTGTTGGTTTTGATAACATTTTTTCTCAGAAAATCAGAAATTGTTCTGTCCACGTATTTACATTCAGCGTGTTGCAGGTTTTATTAGGTGGTTAATTATGAAGTTACAGAATCAATATATATTCTATCTTTAGAATAAGCTGCTTCTGAACATGAAATATAAAAGTATTAAGGTCTTCTTATACCCAACAAATCTGCTTTGGCTCAAATCATTATATAGGTGACATAATAACTTAACATCCTACAGAAGGATTTTCTAATATTTCTCCATAAATACAAAAAAAAAATGTATTTGTATTCATAAAGTCATTCTACAAAAAGCCCAGGGAGTCCACACATTGACTCTAACTAAATAATAGAGGGCGGGCTTATTACAGGACAACAAACCCAGAGGACTAACACATAACCTCTTACACAAAGGTAAAGGTAGAGGATGGGCTTATAACAAGACCACAAGCCAAAGGGGCTAACACAATCAAACCCTAACTCAATGTCGGCTGGTGAGCTTATTACAAAACTCTTGGGTCTAACACATAACATCTGACACAAAGTTAAGGGGTATGGCTTATTGCAGGATCACAAGCCTAAGGGACCAACACAATGACTCTGACTAAAAGTCAGAGGTTGGGCTTATTACATGACCACAAACCCAGGGGCTAACTTATGACTTCTGACACAAAGCAAGGAGTGGGCTTATTACAAGACCATAAGCCAGATTGCCAACATAATGACTCTGACTCAGAACCAACATAATGACTCTGACTCAGAATCTGGGGATGGGCTTATTACAAGTTAAGGACATACAAGGGGCCCAAGGGCCTTAACCGTCACCTGAGTCACCATGCTTCTAGTAATAAAGAAATGATTTTGTTAAAAAATATAATATAACTTTAACTATATAGTATACATGAAGAAAATGTAAATTGTGTATACATTAACACCTGTCCCATGCAAAGGCTTCTAACTAAGTTCTAATTACAGGAAATAACATTCAAGATTTGAATGTTCCTATATACATATAAAATCTTCTATCTTTGAAATTTCAGTCAATTTGACCCATTTTTGACCCCACCCATCAGCCCCTGGGGGTCTGTCAAGGTAAGTCAAGTTTTGGTAAGGCACTTGAAGGCCTTTCCATCCATGAAAAGTTCTTGATTCTACCAAACCTGGGATTTGAGAGGAAGATTATTGAAGTGTCAATCATTTTGACCATTTATGGCCCCTGAAACTTTGTCTCAGGTGACCTAAAAATTTGTTGTTATTTTTACTGAAACTGCAATAGACATGTGTGGGCTTATTACCAGAAATGGCAAAAATTCATACAATATAATTTACTTCACTTTACTCTTCCTCCAACAAACTTGCCAATTGTCAGTAGTACCTCCATATATGTAGAGTCCCACAATAGAGGAAAAGATCTAATCTGTGTTCACATTTCCTGACACAAACATGTCAAGGCTAGGTCACTTTATATGCTAAACATTAGGAAAGCCATACCATTGGTGTTTGAGCTCCCAGCCTCTCTCTGGGAGAGAGGTAGGTTGATTCTCCCTACCACAGGAGCTCCAGTCTCTGACCGTTGCCGGCAGTAAGTGGACGCTTTCTTCTCTAACACACGAGCTTTTAGTTTCCATTTTGAGGCCTTGTTTTCGATGTGGAAGTCTAGAATCTGTCCATCTATATCTGAAAACAAACAATATATATATATAACTTGAGAATGTCTAAATGATATACATAAAGTCATTAATTCCCTTACATTTAAGTTATAAAGAGTAACGCCAACCTTTGACTACCTTAAAACCTTAAACCACCGACTCATTTTAGGTATGGGATATTATGCCTCAAGAACATTTACTCCCTGCAGGACATCATAACTCAAGGACATTTACATTCAGCTGAACATCACGATTCAATGATATTTACCACCTGTGAGGTATCTTAGCTCAAGGGCATGTACTCTATGCAAAATAGCACGATTCAAGGACAGCTTCACTGTGCCCTTTTGTAAGGCTTTTATAACAATACAGAACCTGACGCAGATGAAATTCAATCTAGTGATTTGTACCAACTCCTACATAATCAGAGGAAGAAGAAGTATGTGTGTTAAGTATTCTTTCCTGTTCATGCCACACATAAGTCAAACTACCTTCAACATTATATCATTCCAGACTGCACCTGTGTTCAACTTAGTTCTGAAATGTTCAGCGCCACAACAAACTTTTTTTCAAATACCCTAACTACAAAAACATTCCATGAGCATTCTTGGTAGAAAACCCATTTAATGATGATTTAAAGGTATTGAAACCCATCTCTTTCCTGCTATATGCATATTATAGAAAACTGTGTCACCACCTGCCTGTATTGTCTTTCTGTTGTTACAAGGAGACTGCATTATCCACCTCTTGTAAAAAGAAGCCTGTATTGTCCATGTGTTGTTACAAGGGTCTGTATTGTACATATGTTGTCACCACCTGTCTGTATTGTCTATCTGTTGTCACAAGGGGCCTGTATTGTCCATGTGTTGTCACAAGGGGCCTGTATTGCCCATGTGTTGTCCCAAGGGTCTGTATTGTCCACCTGTTGTCACAAGGGTCTGTATTGTCAACCTGTTGTCACAAGGGGTCATGGCCAGTATTGTCTATCTGTTGTCACAAGGAACTTGTAATGTCTAAGTTTTGTCACAAGGGGCCTGTATTGTCCATGTGTTGTCACAAGGGTCTGTACTGTCCACCTGTTGTCACAAGGAACTTGTAATGACTAAGTTTTGTCACAAGGGGCTTCTTTTGTCCTTGTCCATCTATTATCACAATGAGCTTGTGTGAGTGTGTTGTTCACCTGTTTGGCCTTTATTCTTGAACTTCAGTTACAAAGATCTTTTGTCAGATGAGAGCCATGAAAGGACAGGAGCTTACATTAAGACAGGGTAACAGTGGCGGTAGTGATTATATTTGGATGAAACTGACTTCAACATCATGTTACTTGTAAGTTGCCCAGAATGAAGTTACAAAATATTCTCACTTGGTCTTTAAAAACATCTCTATCATACTGATTATATCTACCACATCATACTGATGATTATGTCTATCTACCACAGGTATAAACACATCTCCTACTAGGTTTGTGCCTGCTCTATAATAGATACATCTGGACTCCATTATATAAATCACATTGATATGTTCCCATCAAACTACACTTTTTTTTGTCTCAGAGTCATTGTTTAACTGATCCAAGACGTCTGCACCTTTGGGAACCTAATTCACTTCTTGAAACATGTGCCATTGATTATGTTTATATCTCTCCCCCACCCTCCCCCAACAGATCAAGTTTATCTTATTCATGCTAAGTGATAGTTCCACACTGAAGTCGAGAGTCGGCAAACCCTCAGTATCGGCACCTTTTAATGTAATGAACGGCATGTTAATGCAGGTCTTACTTCAATCTCATAAAATTCCTTAATTAAATACATACAAGTTTGGTGCAATAAGCCCAAGGAGGGGGCAACTCCTGGAGTATTCAAGGACAAAAAAAAATCATTGTGTAAGCAATTCTACTGAACATCAGAAAATGGACACAGATGGTTGTGATTACTGTATCATTTTACAATAGTCAATTTAAATTTGAATGGCTGATTCTCGTGTCCAATATTCAGAAGGCTAGCAATCTTTAAAAGTCAATTACTTATTAAAACAGGTTCAAAAGAAGTTCATTCTGATCTACAATTCAATATGGTTTGATAAATTTACATGTTTCAACTAAATAAACAGGAAATTATCCGTATTGAAAGAAAAATGTTGAAGGTTTGACATTTCCTCAATGGTATATTCCATATCTTCATTACAGTATAATAATTTGTGTTACCATAAATTGATACTGGAACAAGTGAAATTTAAGCTTCACACAGTAAACAACTGTTCCTATACTTTAGATAATATCTTATCAAGATTGTCTTAACTGATCTATCGGTGAGTCAGCAAATAATGGAGACATGGTGATGAGTTTCTCGTCCAAATGTATCTCCCTCCTATGTAAAGCTTTATATACAAACAGAAAATTGCTGCAAAGGTAGAACTTCTCACTACCTAACCAGCATCATGTTTGTTCTATTGTGTTACACACAACACTCCAATAATTGCAATACAAAAGATAGCAGAAAAAAATGAAAATGCTCTGGAAAAGCAATTTAGGTTCCTGAAACATATTTAACAAGTCTATCTACCAGATAAACAAAACCCAGTATGTGTTTACCTAAAAACAGGATTGGAGCTTGGTTGGTGTAAAACTAGATACTGTAAATTCAATACAAGGAAAAAATGGAAAATGAGACTTTTAAAAGCAATTTCATGAACTGTGAGTAATAAAATAGAGAGTGTCGAAGATAGAAAGTTCAGCAAAGTGACCTTCAACCTTAAATTACCTTGACCTTTAACTTGAGGAAGCAAAAATGTGAAAGTGTACTTATTCCATAGTACTACTGATTTAAAATCTTTGTGAAAATGTCAAATTTAAGATAACACATTTAACTGAGTGGAAAGAAAAGAAGCTTATCAGTTTGAAAGGTAAACTGCAATGAATGATGTTGATTCTTGAAAATATAAGTCTTATTTAAAAACTAAATTTATTAATCATATCTAAGCTATACCTGATAAATTCTACATACATAAGCTAGTGATACACTGATAGCACCATTATATACAACAGGAAATTAAAATGTCTCAATCAGCATTGTTTACTGATATTCTCTAGATCCAAATATGGTGTCATTATTTAAATATCCTGCAGAAATTCAAACAAAGTGAACTGAACTAAACTCCACAAAATATCAAATAAAAATGATACAAATACAATCAAATGGCATAATTGTCAGGATTTCGTCAGATTATTTATCTCAGAATCAATCAAAAAAATTAATTATACACTATTAAAATTTGCACACATTTCCATGAACTTCTTTAAAATCAGATTCTGGCCTGCATATGTAATTCCACCCTCACACCTCCTTAACACCTGTATGTAGTTACGTGTACAATGTTTTTACATCGACACCTGCATAATTAATGGATTCAATTAATAATTTTAAATCAAGTGCTAAAGATTACCTGGTATGATTTTCCGAATTTTTATTTTTTTTGACTAATTCTAGACTAAATCAAGGTTGGTACAAGTAAGATTGTTTTTCCATTCACTGTGTTTTCTAAGTGAGAAAAATATGCGGTTTTGTGGAAGTGTTTTTTGCTAGATGAGAGGAAAAAAATTTCCATCACTAATAGGTTGCTAATCCTGTTCCTAACAAAAAACATAGCCCCAGCAGAAAGTGACACAACATTTAAAACAGGTTAGCGATTCCAGCACCTCTCATGCATTAAGTCTTTCAGAGCTGTGGTTCCCAGTTAAATATGTCTTCATTACTGTTTCTTACGAGGTTTAGAACATGTATCTCCAGCTTAGCTGTAATGAGAAATATCTTTTATTTAACTAAATATCATCACACCCTGATACATCTTCAATCTGTCTTTATATGTATAATATTTCCTTACAGATGAATTGGATCAGAAACCCAGGGATTTCTCTGTATTTTTCCCTTGTTATATGATTTAACCACCATTAAGCTGTGAATGCTTTATCTGCCCTGGTCCAGATGGAAACCTAGTGCAGACTGTGTGTCTGTTAGCCTGTTGTTTCCTTACCAACAAACAAAGCATTGCTGTCGCATAGAAAAACTATCATCCAGGAGAGTTCAGGACAGTACATACTAATTGTACCTAAAGAGAAAGTAGGTGTATTTAATTATCCTTTATATCTAAAGTACATTTTACAATCTTTTTCTCTTGGTGAATCAAACTATGGGTATTTTTTTTATTATTCTATAGAAAATTATGACTATTACAGTGTTCTTTCATATTTTCCTTCAAAGCACAATTTTTTTATAAATAATTTGAATTTCATATTCTATTCCTGTTTGAGTACAGAGAAATATTTTTTGAAAATGATGTATTGATGTTATTGGCAAAGATAATCTTTGTCTACAAAAGCCAAGTATTGCAACTATTTCCTGCAAAAAAATAAAAACCACTCAGGATCAAAGCTACTGTTGTGAACTAATAATAGACAAAATGCACATGGCCAGAAGATTGGTGCAGTAAAGTTGATAAAACTATATATAATCTGTAGTATGCTTTGTAACGATATCATAACTAAGATAGATGTCTATCTATTTGGTAATCTGTAGTCTAGATTTCTTGTTGAACCTGATGTCTATCCTCCTCGTCCCCTAGGCACACCTTAAGTCTACCTAACTAGTCACACCTGAAGTCTACCTTCCATGCCATGCCTGAAGTCTACCTTCCATGCCATGCCTGAAGTCTACCAACCTAGTCACACCTGAAGTCTACTTACCTCGTCACCCCTGAAGTCTACTTACCTCATCACCCCTGAAGCCTACCTTCTTAGTCAAATCTGAAGTCTACCAAACTAGTCACACCTGAAGTCTACCTAACTAGTTACACCTGAAGTCTACCTACCTAGTCACACCTGAAGTCTACCTAACTAGTTACACCTGAAGCCTACCTTCTTAGTCAAATCTGAAGCCTACCCAACTAGTCACACCTGAAGTCTACCCAACTAGTCACACCTGAAGTCTACCTTCCATGCCATGCCTGAAGTCTACCTACCTAGTCACACCTGAAGTCTACCTAACTAGTTACACCCGAAGCCTGCCTTCTTAGTCAAATCTGAAGCCTACCCAACTAGTCACACCTGAAGTCTACCTACCTAGTCACACCTGAAGTCTACCTTCCATGCCATGCCTGAAGTCTACCTACCTAGTCACACCTGAAGTCTACCCAACTAGTCACACCTGAAGTCTACACAACTAGTCACACCTGAAGTCTACCTTCCATGCCATGCCTGAAGTCTACCTACCTAGTCACACCTGAAGTCTACCTAACTAGTCACATCTGAAGCCTACCTTCTTAGTCAAATCTGAAGCCTACCCAACTAGTCACACCTGAAGTCTACCCAACTAGTCACACCTGAAGTCTACCTTCCAAGCCATGCCTGAAATCTACCTAACTAGTCACACCTGAAGTCTACCTACCTAGTCACACCTGAAGTCTACCTACCTAGTCACACCTGAAGTCTACCTACCTAGTCACACCTGAAGTCTACCTACCTAGTCACACCTGAAGTCTACCTAACTAGTCACACCTGAAGTCTTCCTACCTAGCCACATCTGAAGTCACACCTGCAGTCAAACTTCCTAAGTCACATCTTTAGTTTATCTGCTTTGTCATACCTTAAGTTTATCTTCCTTCCTCCTTGTCACAACTTTATTCTACCTTCCTTGTAATATCTATAATCTACCTTTCTTATCATGCATATAGATGTAGTCTACCTTCTTAGTCACACCATTAGTCTACCTTTCTTTTCACGCCCGTAACTTTTCTTTCTTTTCACACCTGCAACCTTTCTTTCTTTTCACACCTGTAATCTCCCTTCCTTTTCACACCTGTAATCTCCCTTCCTTTTCACACCTGTAGTCTACCTTCCTTGTTACACCTGTGCTCTACCTTCCAAGTCACACCTGTAGCCTACCTCTCGTATAGTCAGGTGACCCACATCTGAAGTCTACAATTTAAGTCTACTGTTCTTATCACACCTGATTATAGCCATATTTGCTTCATCAGATTTATTATTATTATTATTACAGTACTCTCAAAAAAAACTAAAATCATTAAAACTGGCACTTGATCACTTATAAAGTAGAGTGTCCTTTATTGAGGAAGCTCTGCGGAGCTTCTTCTAAAGGAAGTTTGCCTGGTCATAATGAAAACAATACATCAAATTATAAAACAGTTTTAAGGAAAATGCCTGGTTGATGGTGGCCTGACCCAGTGCCCTACATAGTTAACTTCCTCATTACATATTTTCATATGGGACCTTAACAAAAAGAGAGAAGCTAGCCGAGTTCTCTACCTGCAAAACAGTAGGATTATAAGTCAAACATCTGAAGTAGTGGCTCTGTGAGTCACTCTTGATGGGCGTGTCATTAGGGTTATAGTAATGGAGTTATCTCTGTGCGAGTCAATGGCGAGTTGAGTTAACATGTATGACAATGGAGTGACATGCATCTCTTTGAGTCAATATTTTTCAAGCAATAGAAAATTAATTCATGAGTCATAATCATACAAGTGGACAGATTTCTCCTTGAGTCATTGACAAAAGTACATGTTGTGCGAGTCAAAATGTCTGATTGAATTACATTAAACAATACAAACTATTTAATGGTTCCTTGGCACAAATTCATCTAATTCAATGAAAGTTTCATTTACTCTACCAATGAAACCCTATTTTTAAATTTCTGGGTTTTTTTTTTTTTGCCTGATATCTCCCATGAACTACTTGCATTGCTTCCCTGGAC